TGCATTGGCAGACCCTGAGTACAGCACAGCCCCTTCATCCCCACCTCATCCAGCTAAACGGGGAGCTACTGGGGATGTCTTCAAGGGTGTGAGCCTGCATGCAGGCTCCCTCAGCCCACTTTCTTCTGCTTTGAGATACATGACCTCGGTCTTGCTACCTCTTAGGTCTGTTTCCTCACCTGAAAAAAATGAATGCTATCTCACAGGGTCTCATGAGGAAACAAGGACTCCTAACTACCGAGCCATCTTTCCAGCCTGAGAATTAAGAATGCATACGATGGGGTGAAGGCATGCTTCAGTAGTTAAGAGCAACCGTTGCTCTTGTAGAGGGCCTCATTTCTGTTCCCAGCACCCACATGATAGCTCACAACCATACATCACTCCAGTTCCAGGGACACGGGTGGTGTACAAACATACATGTGGCTAAAACACTCATACATATAAAATAAATGAACCTTTAACTTTCTTAAAGGACACACCCCATCTAGCTGACGCAGGTGAATATCTGAGTTCGAGGACAGCCTGATCTACAAAGCAAGTCCCAGGCCAGCCAGAGCTAAACAGTGAAACCCTGTCTCAAACAAACAAAAACAAAAGAGCAAACAAATCTGACCATGGCAAGGAGGCAGCTTCTTGGTGGAGTGAGGTTACGTTTTTTATTCACTCTGTGTGCGTGTGGTTTGTGTGTGTGTGTGTGTGTGTGTGTGTGTGTGTGTGTGTAAAAGCAAGAGCTTTTGCCCGCCATGCCGTATCTCCAACCCCCATGCTTCTTCCTCCACAGGAAGCCCTTACTGCTGCCTTCCACGCCATTCACTCTCAACTGCTCACCCTGCCACACAGTCACCAGGTCCTCGTCCCTCTGGACCAACACTAACGTTAAAAGAAAGGCCATTCAGCCCACAGCCTATCAGACAAACTCCTTGAGAGAAGAGGGAAGGATTGATCCCACAGCAAACCTGCTACTACTGAGTCATTTATTTCACCCTTCCCCTGTCACCCTGCCGTCTCAGCAGCCCTAGACCTCCGTTGTCCCCTTCCCCACAACACCACATCTGACCCAGCCTCTTAGAGTTTTGACCAAAGATTCCTTCCTTAGTAACCAGTATCAGAACTTTCGAGCCCACATACAGAAATAATAGCAACAGCTTCTATGAAAGGAACCATCATTCTGCCTGGTGCATATGTGAGACCTCCTCCTCCGACACCATCTAAGAATGAGATGCTGAAGCACTTACATGGCTTCGGAGAAAGATCCAGAGCTACCTGGGGATGCCCAGTAAGCTATGGTGCTAGGGGCGGTGCTTCCTTAGCAGGTGCAAAGCCCTGGATTCCATTTCCAGTACCACAAAACCAAACTGAACGGCAAAGACGCTTTGGTAGAATAGGCATAAAAATGACTGGCAGGGCACAGTGGCGCACGCCTGTAGTCCCAGCTACTCGGGAGGCTGAGGCAGGAGGACCACTTGAGTCCAGGAGTTCTGGGCTGTAGTGCGCTATGCTGATCCGGTGTCTGCACTAAGTTCGGCATCATTATGGTTACCTCCTAGAAGCGGGGGACCACCAGGTGAACCGGCCCAGGTCAGAAACCGTGCAGGTCAAAATTCCTATGCTGATCAGTAGTGGGATCGCACCTGTGAATAGCCATAGCCGCTGCACTCCAGCCTGGGAAACGTATTGAGACTCGGTTTTTAAAAAAATGCCTTCATTGCTTCCTAAAGTGCAGGTTAAACACTGGTATCCAACCAAGAACTCCCTGAAGACCCTTGACCCAGTAGAAAGCAGTGGTTATGTGTCTTAAGAAGGAAGTTATGTTCCCAAGCAATTACTCCATTTACTGTTTATGAACGGTTTTATTTTAGTTTTTAATCTTTTTTTTTTTTGAGACAAAGTATAACATAGCCTGGGCTGGTCTCAAACTCTCTAAGTAGCCAAGGATGGCCTTGAGCTTCTGATCCCTTTGCCTCCACCTCTCCAGGGCTTGGATGACAGGTTTATGCCACCATGCCCATTTTCTGTGGGGCTGGGGTTTGAACCATGGGCTTTGAACAAACTAGACAAGTACTCTAGCAGCCCACCAACTGAGCTACATCCTGGCCCCATGACTTCTTTCGAAGATGAGAACTTCAGCTTCTATCTTAGGAAGGAATCTATTATGCTGCTCTGGTTCATGAGAGATATTTCTGGGCAGCTGGAAGCAGAGAGGATGTGACAGCCGAGCAGCCCGAGCAGCTAACATCTTGAGTCCATCAACATCTGGAAGCCAGAGCTTCAGAAGAAAGGTAAGTCCAGGCTACAAGAGAAGGTGACCCCTGCCACAAGAGCCTTGCATTCCACCAAGACATCTTCCAGCTCCCATAACTGGGACAACTGGACCATAGTCATTTTGGGTCTCCAGACCCTACGGTTACCTGTCACAAGTGCAGGAGCCAGCAAACCACAGGTACCACCGGCTCCAGCTCACCTTGCATGGTCAGAGGTGAACCTTGTGCCCAAGGATCTAGGAAATTCTCAGCTCTGTTGCTTAGTAACAGAGCAGAGAGACTTTAGGGAACTCTGAAGGGGAAAAAAAAAAAAACAGATATAAGAGGTGCTGTCTGCCAAACACTGTACTCACTAAATTGTATGGGGTGGGGTGGGGTGCAGGCTGGATCTGTGGAGTCAGAACTTCTTATCACCCTAAGAACAATCCGAGGACCCTTGCTGCCACAACAAAACTGCCACTGTCGTATTTTATGAGCTGGGGGTTCCATTTTTAAGCTTCATTGTTGCATCGAAGACAATGTTAGTGGCATCATTGAAAGGGCATTCAATTGCTCTGGTCCATCAGAGGTGATGTGAGCCTAAGAAAGATTTCTCAGCACTGAGGCAGACAGTTGTGACATAGGAGACCCCAGGCCTCTCCTAGATCCCAAGCAAGTGTAGATGGACAGGCACCTGCCCACCACCCACCACCTTGGGGCCCAGGGTGCTACGGAGAAGAAAAGCAGGGCTGCCCTCTTTGGGGCTGCACAGGAGATGAACCCTTATGACCTGTCTGGCTTCCACTACTTGTGTTCTGAAGTCTCAAGATATGGAAGGAACTGCAAATACCCAGATTGTTTTCTTGGGCAAATCTGCTCCAAGGCTGGATCTTCTACTCTGAACACTCTCCATAGGCTCTTCAACTTCATGTTCAAAGATAAACAGGGATCCTAAAAGCCTTGCCTCCTATACCTACCCCACACTTGTCCCTTTGTTTTCCTCTATAATTCAATACCCTGTGGCCACCAACATAGTGCCTAGGGTCTCCTCACCTCACAGGCAGCAAACTCTGTCCTAGAAGCATGGCCACCTCAATTGCCCCTGCCCTCTAGCTAACTGGAGGGAGCTGGGAGCTCGGCCAGAACTTCCAGGTCTCCATGGCCACAAGTTCAAAGTGGCATGAGAAAGGACCTCACAAGAGCTCTGCTTTGGGCGCCCTGGGATTATTTACTAACTACCCACAAAAGAGGGATCTGTTCCAAAAGGCCTGGACTAGACCACAAACTCTAGCCCAGGGGTCTTAATAGAACCCTAGTTCCCAGAGGGTATATAAGGCCCCTGGCCGTGCGTAGAATGCTCCTGCACCATGCATGTTTGGGTTGTGTGGTTGGGGTATAGCTTTCACCAGATCCCAAAGAGGCCCTTGGTCTAACTCTTGGATCTGGTCTCCCCGTCTCTCACCTCCACTGTCATATCACCAGCCCTGAGCAATCCTAACTGCCCAGACTCACCCCCCCCCACCAAGACTGTGCCCTGCTTGGTTTCCTGTCCCCTTTTCTTTCCAGCAGCAGCAGCGGGCAGTCAGGGGATTTCCAACCCAACCCTACTGAATGCCCAAGCCAGCAGCACAAAGGTGCCACCTTCCATTCAAATGAAAGTTCCCCACTTCACAATGAGATGATTGATAGCCGTAAAGACAGTACCTCCTTCGAGCAGCCTGGCTAACTTTATCAGCCGGTAAAGAACACCCTCAGAACCCTCTCTCCTGGGCCAGGTGGTACAAGGTAAGGAAGAGAAAAGGTGTACTCCCCGGGTTCCAGGCTGCCCGAGGAACAGGTGGAGATCAAGACACACACACGGTCATCTACCCAGCATCATCTCTAGGGTGTCTCAAGACTATACTCCCAATTATCCCCTCAGCCTCCATTCTCGCATCAAACACTGGAAACCTAAAATCTCTCTCCCTTAAAACACCTTCCCCAGGAATTTCAAAGCAGTGTAAATTTCTTGGAGCTAAAACTTTATTTTTAAGGAGAGAAGATGAACAAGCCCGTGCCGGGGTGCAAGGCAACCACTCAGGGAGCAAACCAAGGAATAAAAGCAAGCCCTGGCCCCCTGGAGCTCAGCGCCCCAGGCAATTAGAGTCCGAGGGGGCGGGGGAGCAGGGGCGGGGACAGCGCATTCTGAACTTTCCCCAGCCGGGTCGCGGAGAGATGCAGCTCCCTGGGGACCGGGTGGGACCAGAAAAGGCTGAGCCGACCGGTGACCACAGCGGGAGCAGGAAGCGAGCCTCCCCTCCCCCTAAAAGGAGTTCAGCTCCCAGCCCGGGCCCCCGCCTAGCCATCGCCATTCAGCCTGCGCCCCCATGCCGGGGCGAAACCGGGAGGGTGTCCATACAAAGAGGGGAACCGGGGAGCGGAGACCCGGGAGGAGCAAGCTCCCCAGGCCTCGCGTCCCTTCCTCGCGGCGCCGGCCACTGACCACCCCTCCGATCGTGGCCCCGGGTGCCGCACGCCCCCTGCGCCCAGGGCCCGGGGACGAAGCGGGCAGCCACGGAGAGAGGGCCGCCCGGATTTGCCGTGGAGCCGCGGGCTCCCGGGAAGCCGTGGCCACGGCGCGAGGACTCAAACTCGCGACGGCCCGGCCCTCGCGGCCGCGCCTCGGCGATGCTCCCGGGGAAGGTGGGGCTGCCGGGCCGGGGTGGAGCGAGGCGCCCACGAGCTCGCTGTAGGGGCGGCGAGAGCGAATCGGGGTCTTACCGAGCACCGCACTCGCGTCCGCTCCCGCGGGCCGCTGGGGCCGGGCGGCGGGGGAGGGGCGCGGTCCCGCGGTGGCGGCAGCGGCGGTGGTGGCGGCGCGGGCCCGGCTCGGTGGCGCGGCGGCGCGGCTGGGCGCCGGGAGGCGGAGAAAGCGAGGCGAGGCCGGCTTCCTAGCGGCGGGCTGCGAGAAATGCAGCTGTGTGTGCGCGGCTGCCGCCGAGGCCACAAGTGGGGCCGTGCAGGGAGGAGCGGGGCTGCGCGCGCGCCGGGGCCCAGGCTGCGGCACCCCCAGACCCTCTCCCCAGACCGGGAAGCAGAAACAGGGGTCGGGAGGCCAATGCGGCTACGGGGCATGGAGGGAAGGGTATCTGGGGAACATTAGGACAGGTTCCTCTGCGCATTCCCGCGCCATCTGCACTGATCGTTCGGCTAGAGCACAGGGAAGCTGAATGGGGAGACTGGGATGTCCCTTTATTGCCGTGTGCGGTACGTCCTGGCTATGCCGACTTGGGGAGTATCGTAATGAGTTGTTGAAGCTAGGAGACCTGAGACTTGGAAGACTTGGGAAAGAGGGGGACCTAAACTCAAGGCTGGCCTGAGAGGATGCAGACACATACCAGGAGCCCAGAGTGACGGTGGCAGAAAGCCCACGAGCCTTTGGGCCTTGGGACACCAGGAGTGTGAGGAAGTGGCGGCTCCGTGAAGTTAGAGCTCAAGCAAGGAAATAAAATCTAATATTGAGGCCGGAGGAGATGGTGGAGTGGAGGCGGGAAATCAAAGCCACGGCCCATTCACTCCAGCCGTCACCACCCACCTATCATCTCATCTCCACCCAACATTCCCCCACCACCTGAGGGGCTTCTGAGCCTGGACAAGGGTTTCCAATAACTGTTTAATAAACGGTCGATCAACTTTGGCTATTTTTCCACGTGGTTCAGTTTCGTGCACTAATTTGGAGATGAGAAGAGAGAGGAGATAGAGGGGATGACTATCAAGCCCTGCTTTGAAGGGGAGCTACCTAGGGGGAATCTAAAGAGGATGAAGTTCAAATCATTAACATCGTGATCTGCAACATCTTAGGAAGAATTAAACTCTGCTACAGCAAAAACTGCACCATTTGTGTGTGGAGCCCTGGCAATAGCCCCTTTCCTCCTCTGAATGCTTGCAACCAGCAATCTTTGCTGAGAAGGTTTAACATGCTCGCCCACAGAAACATCTGATGGTAAAAACCACAAACCAAGGCCCCCGGATGCAAATGTGCTTCCATCATTTGCATGTCAAGGGTAATTTCTTAGGCAAGGTGGATTCGGAGGATGCCCGGAGAGAAAGCTCATCTCTGAGGATCTCCTGGTCCCTTCTGCCCATGCTCCTTCACCTAATTTTAGGGAACCCTCAAAAGAGTCAGGAGCTGGTTCCTAGACCCCAAGTTAAATATTCTGAATCTAGAGTTCTCTGCAGACGCTGGTTGTCACTGAGAGCTCAGGACTTATCCTCTTGACCCATAAAATCTGATGATGCTATTGAGCATGCCACCTAATACTACAGTGTTAAGTTCATCTGTCACTTTTCTGCTTACTGGCACAATCTTCCTCTGATTTGTCCTGGTCATTTTGACATTTCAGGAGTGGAGCTAGGGGAAGGGGGCAGGGAGTTTACCAATCTGGAGATTTTCCTGTTTGCACATGCCTCTGGATTGGTCATAAAATGTTTAAATGTATTGTCATTAAAGTCATTAACACAGCCGGTCGTTGTGATGGACAGTCCTTGAAGCACCCTGTCTATGGGCTTTGCTAATGCCCTCCTCCCTTGGAATCGATCCTGGAAGCTTTTTCTCAGCAGCACCCTGTCTTCTGCTTCTCATCCTCCAGGGTGACCTCCCTCACACCTCCCCCACCCCCCACCCCCCCCACCCCCGTCTCTGAGCACCTAGAGGCCCAGGCCAGGTCTTTCACCTGTAACCCAGCCCTTCATATCTGCTGCCTGCCTAGCATCCCCAGCAGCAGGTCCCTTAGACACAGCATACCTCCCTCACCCCCCCCCTGTCTCTGAGCACCTAGAGGCCCAGGCCAGGTCTTTCACCTGTAACCCAGCCCTTCATATCTGCTGCCTGCCTAGCATCCCCAGCAGCAGGTCCCTTAGACACAGCATAGGGGCTGACAGCAAACTCAAATCCACTCCTTCCTCATCTGAATACCATCTCTGGCACAGAGGTGGACCATCTCAGCCCCTACCGCCTTTTCCCTGGGCATTCTGTTGTTCTCCAGCTGTAACTCATTTCTCCTTCCCTTTCCTCTTCCTCCCTTCCCACAGCTGCTGCCTGGCTCCGGCCCCTGTGCTCTGCTCTTCTCAGCTGGGGAGAGACCCCTTTTGCTTTCTAGCCAAACTTCCTGCCTGCTTTGGAAGGAATACTCTAATAATTCCCCACACACACATCTTTTAAACAAATTGTGTCCCGACCCTGCACTACCAACAAGTCATTGCCGATTAGTGTCTTCCCGTTCATAGCAGACTTCTCCAGAACGGGACACACATCTCTCACTTTTTCCCAGCCTCGTTCTAGCTTTGGTTTCCTGTGGTCTGGCCCTCTTCCCCAGCCATCCCAGGAGCTACACTCAGAGGGAGGCCCTGGCCTGCACCTGGTTTTCTAAACCCATGAACATCCTGCTCACCCCACTTCTTGGCTCCGATGCAACCCCAGATGCTCTTCGGGCTTCATTGAAATTACTCCCACCCCACAGATTCCCAGTTTCACAAGGTTTTTCCACCTGACCCTACATTTCTTCAGCAGCCTTCTCTAGCACCCAGTTTCTTCCCACTCTTCCGGCAAACTCTACTGCCCAGGATATGCTCACAGAGGCAAAGGAGTGGAGAAGCACCAACCCTCAGGGTTTCTTGACCTGCTGCATGGCTTTAGGCCAGGCACTTAAGTCTTTCTGTGCCTTGGTTCCCTTACTTGTACTGACCGAGGTCTACTTCATTTGGTTTTATTGTATGTGTTTTATTGTGTGTATTTTATTGTATGTATTTGGGTGTTTTGCCTGCATATTTGTTTGTGCGTCCCCTGGAACTGGAGTTACAGATGCTTGTGGACCACCACGTGGGTGCTGGCAACCAAATCCAGGTCCTCTGGAAGAACAGCCAGTTCTCTTAACCACAGAGCCATCTCTCCAATCCCTCCCCTCATTTACTTCAAAGTAATGTGTGGTGAGGATGTAATCAGTCCACACATTCTGCAGCACACGGAACAGCACTTGGCATGCTATGTGTTCAGCAACTGCCAGTGTTGTTGTAAATATATTCCTTCATCTGCTATCAGGTGGATAGGGTGTGCTGGCTAGCTTTATGTCAACTTGACACAAGCTAGAGTTATCAAAGAGGAGGGAGCCTCATCTGAGAAAATGCCATCTTAACATCGGCCTGTAGGCAAGACTGTAGAGCATTTTCCAAACCACAGTAATCTTAGGACTTTCTATTCTCTGAATTCATTTGGAATATCCATGCTCTGTCCTGGTTCAGACTCTGCCACCAGGGCCCTGCCTGCCAACCATCCTCCATCATGCCAGCAACTGCTGCTCTGAAGATTTGGTGGTGCTCCCTGTTGAAAATGGTGGGTGACTCCTCATTCCTCAGAGGGTAAAGTTTAACTCCGCTCCAGCTCAGATCTGGAATGATACCTAAAAGCCACTGTATGAAAACCTTGGTCCCCAGTGTTAGCATGCTTAGGAGGTGGGGTGTGGTGAAGTCTTCCCATGACCTCAAAGAGAATAGTGATACCCAGCCCCTCCCTCCTCCTCTTTCACTCTCCATCCTGAGGATGAGCAGTTTTGTCCAACTCATGCCCCTACCATGATGTGTTGCCTCATCACAGGCCCTAAAGCAATGGGCCACATAGATCATGGACTGTGTGTTAGTCAAAGCTCTCTAGAGCAAGATTTAAACTCTTGACCCTTTCTTGCTCAAGAAATTTTTTACATGGTCCTAAGTATGTAGTTGTATAAAATAGTTGTACAGATCAAATGTTCACTATTAATAACGAATAAAATATTTCTAAAGAGCCTGGCAGCAGTGGTGGTACACACCTTTAATCCCAGCACTCAGGAGGCAGAGGCAGGCAGATTTCTGTGAGTTGGAGGCCAGCCTGGTCTACAGAGAGAGTTCCAGGACAGCCAAAGCTATACACAGAGAAACCCTGTCTTGAAAAACAAAAAGAAAGAAAGGAAGGAAGGAGGGAAGGAAGGAAGAGAGAAAGGAAGAAGAAAAGACAAACTGTTTTGTTTCTACAAAAAGCAGAAAACTTTGTGTATATATTAAAAATACTGCAAATCATAGCACATAATAATCTGGAATCTGCGCCAATGTGTTTTTGTCAGTGTTAACTGGATTTTTTGGTGACGTGATGCCGTATGTAGTGTGTGTGTTGTATCTTCAGAACCAAGTCTGCTGTGAGGTCATGGATGCAACATGGATGAATGCTGCCAGAAAAAAAAAAACTCAGGTTCACTGAGTGTTTGATTTCAAATTAATTTTGGATCATTGTGCATTCAGAAACCTTTTACTATGGCCAAAAGTTTTATAATCCTCACATTCAATTATGCAACCCAATCTGGGGCAGGGCTGTGACCTACAGTATAAGAAGGTGAAGCTCTAGAGGAAGAGGACCAATAGAATAAGTATTATATAACATATATAATATAATACATACCGATAGTATATAACATCATAAAAGGGGATTTACAAGCTAGGCACGTTGGTGCACGCCTTTAATCCCAGAACTGAGAATGCAGATGGATCTCTGAGTTTGAGGCCAGCCTCGTCTACACAGTGAGTTCCAGGACAGCTAGGGCTACACAGAGAAATACTGTCTTGGAAAAAAAAACATAAAAATAAAATAATAAAAAGGAGGATTTATTAGGTTGGTTTACCTGTTAGGAACTGGGTAGTCCAAAAATGGCTATCTGCAAACCAGAGAACCAAGAGAGAACCCAGTAGGTGCTCAGAGCCAAAAGTGGGATACCACCACTATTCCCACCAGCATTGAAATCTGTGGTGGGAGTTAACACTGAGTCCATGTGTATAGGCCAGTGAGGCTGG